AGGAGGGCCATTCTTAAATTGCTCAAGTAAGAGGTAGAACCAAAAAGTAAACCTAGGTCACGTGGCTCCTACTCCCTTAAGAAGTGCCTGTGACCAGGGAAAGCATCTTCTTTGAGAATCTTATTCAGTAGAGCTAAGAGGAGTAAGATTTTTAAGTACACAAGGAATATCCTATGACCAAGTGTTTCAGCTTTTCGGTTGCTGAGACATAATAAATAACACCCACAACTTCAAGTAGGAAAGGTTTAATTTAGCTCACAGTTTCAGGGGTTACATAAATGATTAGCAGGTTCTAACTCAGAAATGTAATGGTGGAAGGGTATGACAGAGAATGCTACTTAGTTCATGGCAGCCAGGAAGCAGAACAGAGAAATAATGCCAGAGAGGAAGGGGTGAGTGAGAACATACAGTACCCAAGGTCTAGTCTCCAAGACCCATGAAGACACACCCAGGAGTGTGCTTTACTAATCTGTTAGGCATTTCTTAATGCAATAAAGTTGACATATCATGATTAATAATCAGTAATGTAGCAAGATACAAAAGCAACACAAAATTCAGTAATGTTCCTGTACACTAATAATGAATCCACTGAAAAAGAAATTAGGGGAACAAAAAAACCTTTCACAAGAGCACCAAGACAAATTAAATACTTATTAATTAATCTAAGGAAGTGAAAGGCCTTTACAATAAAAACTATAGTACTCTGAAAAAGGAAACCAAAGAGGACATCAGCAAATGGAAAGATATCCCGTTCCTGGATATGCAGAACCAATATAGTCAAAAGGGCCATACTTTTAAAATTGATACACAGATTTAATGCAATCCCAAGCAAAATTCCCACAGAATTCTTCACAGAACTGGAGAAATAATTCTAAATTCCTACAAAACCAGAAGAGATTCAGAACCACAAAAGCAATCCTGGGGAAGGGGAGCAAAGCATGAGGCATCACAATCTTCAGTGTAATGAAGTCATATTACAAAGCTGCTGAGATAAAAACAGCATGAAACTGGCACAAAAACAGACATGATGATCAGTGGAATGGCATAGAGGATGCAGCTACAACTCCAGGCACATTCAGTTATCTTATCTTTGACAAAGGAGCCAAAAACATATACTAGAGGAAAAATAGTTTTTATTTCTATAATAAATGGCATTGGGAAAGCTGGCTATCCACATGCAAAAGATTGAACCTAGTCCCATAACTCTCCCAGTGCACTAAACTAAAATCAAAATGGGTCAAAGAACTAAATGTTAGGACAGAACCTGCTGGAAGACAAAACAGGTAAAACTCATGAAGTCCAGATCATAGGCAATAACTTTCTGAAAAGAACCCCAGTTGCCTAGGAAATCCACAAATTTGATGAAAATCAACAAATGTACCATATCAAATTAAAAAGCTTCTTTATATCAAAGGAAACTACCAACAAAGTGAAAAGACGACCTACAAAGTGGGGACATTTTGTGGACAGCTATTTCTCAGACAGAAGACTATTATCTAGAACATATAAAGACCTCAAAACAATTAGAACCCCCAAATAAAAGACCCAATCAAAAAATGGGCAACTGAAATGGACAGACACTTCTCAGAAGTACAAATGGCCAAGAAATACATGAAGGAATAGTCAACACCCCTGACCATGACAGAAATGCAAACTAGAACTACACTGAGATTCTATCTTATCCTACAAAGAATGGTCATCATCAAGAAGTCAAATAATAACAAATGCTGGTAAGCCTGTGGGGTAAAAGGAACCCTACCTTGTTAGTAGAAATGTATACTAGTACAACCACCATGGAAATCAGCAGAGATCCCTCGAAAACCTAAAACTAAGAATTCGATTTGACCCAGCCCTTACCCTTCCAATGAAAGAGTTGAAGACATACTACAGGGATACACGTATAAAAATATTTATGGCACCACAATTCACAATAGCTAAATCTTAGAAGCCTATATGTTCATCAACTTATGAATGAATAAAGAAAATGTGGTATTTACACACAATGGAATACTACTCTGCCACCAAAAAGAAAGATAAACTTAACCATTTATAAGAAAACAAATATAGAGTGACTTCATAATGTTAAGTGAAATGAATCAGTTACACGATTCCCCATCTCTGCCACCAGCAGTGCAGATGGAAGGGGAAGATGTGATTAAATATCACAAGGTTTCTCTCACATGAGAAAACTTTAAGTATAAATAAAGAGTAAAAAAAAGCTAAATAATAGGAAGTAGGGAGATACATCTTTCTCAAAGGCGAAGGTTATTAAGAAATAGAAGGAAGGGAAAGAGGACTGAAAAAATGAATTTATTTTGTTTTGTTTGGTACCGGAGATTGAACTCAGTGAAAAAATGAATTTAGATGTGTTAAGTAAATGTACCAATTCTACACAAAGAATGTAAACATTCCAAAAAAGGAAGGGGATCAAGAGATGGCTGCAGGGAGGGGCAAAGGAAGGGAGAAGGTATAAAAAAGGAATCAAGATATATTATGTACCCATACCAACTCCTGACAGAGAATGTAAATGTTATGTACTACAAACATGTATCAATAAAGAAAGTGATCTGGAAAATGAACATTTATCCAGGTAAGTTTGGGAGACACTATATTGGAAGAATATAAAAATACAAAATAAATAAAAACCGAATCAACTGCCAGTTAAAGGAAGATTCCTGTAATCTTTCTGAGGCAGCATAAATACTTCAGTGACCTGAGGACCATTCCACACAGGTTCCTGGGCCGGTTTTCCCTGGCTGGTTCCTTCCCTGTGACCTACTGTGAGAATTTACTCCGACAACCTCTGCAATGGATAATAGACTTAAATGAACGTTCTCCAGATTTGAGTCTTGCTTCAGCCAATCCCTCTGTGGGCACGTCACTGGGGAAGTTATAACACTTACAAACCTCAGTTTTCTGATCAATAAAATGGAGATGAAGATCTCAGAGTTGGTACTGTTTACCAAGCTGAAGTACACAGGAAGTCTTTAAAATATTAAATGTTCAGTATAGGCCAGGGTTTCATCCCTAGTTCCAAATAAAGACAGGGATCATTCAAACCACCCAGTCAAGGTCTTGTCCTTATTAGCTGTGGTCTTGCCTATAAATGTAGCCATTGCACTGCTAGTGTCAGAGATGGGGAAGATGGAATTTGGCTGCCCCAGCTTTCCAGGGAACATGATCAGAGATGTCTAAGAAAAACATTTTTTTGTATTTCAAACTTTTAGCTACATACAAAGAAAACGTTTGCCTACTGGGAAAAGAATTTTCTGAAATTTCACAGAAAACAAGCAGAAAATGTGGTTTCGCAGGGAATTAGTAACAAAGGGCTTCCACCCTGGCTTGATTAAAAATGATGACTGTTATTAAGCTGGAAATTTGTTGTTGGTTAAAACTACTGTATCGCAAAGCAATTAAGATGAGGTGTCCTTATTCAACCTGATCAGTTGGGGCCAGGCAGGTATGAAGCAGCCCACTCGAATCCCTGCTGCCTGCTGCCTGTGGAACGACTGGGTGTTGACTAAGTTCCAGACTCTTGGCTTCCACAGATCATTAGATCTCTAGTTCCTCATTACAACCTTCTAGGATGTTTCCCCCTAGTTTAGAGAATTGCTCAGAGAAATGAAGTTCCAAGCTCACTGGCACAGCCTGGAAGTAGCAGTTCTGTCTGACTTTGTAGCACACTTTTGGCCCCCTAGCAGTTGGGGCAAGGTTGGCAATGGACAGTCACACTAACTCAAAGAGCCCCAGAAGCAGTTCACTAACGTCCCTTTGGCTTTTGGCCAGTCACCTGAAACCAGTAATCCTTCCTTATGGGTGTGGCCATGTAGGGCATTAAATTATAGATAAAAAGGTGAATCTTGGGTGAAGAATCAGATTTCTTTCAAAGAACGTTTCCACCTAGCAACGGGTTTGCACTGCATACTCTTCCCCTGTCCAGAATTAGGATGATATTAAGAATGACTGCCATTCTCAGTGGTCATGGGTGGCTGTGCTCCCCACTCCTCATGTAAACGCCACCCTTTCACTAACTCTAAACACCTCTGTGGCAATACAATTGTTGCTCATAATCATTGTTCATTGTTTGAATTCCAGTCCTCAAGATCAGCTTTGAGTTTGGGCTGCTTAAGTAATATCTTAGGACAGGTGAAGTCCCTGGCTGGTCAACTGCAGCCACAATTCCTGAGATGTGGCATCAGCCTATAAAAATGACAAAACACTACCAAACTACAATATTTAGGATACATCCAGTAGAATATTTTACCACTCACTTAGAAGAATCAACTCACAGATTATATATTCCCAAGTCCATAAATTATTTTGTAAATTAACAGTAGTTAACTAAACATTCAACTCTGAACTTAAACATATAGATATATGATACAGACTTAATATACATGTGTAATATCTTAAAATGATGGAAGTAATCTTAAAATTACTTCCTAAATAGTTTAAAAAAAGAGACTTACTGCTACTGATTTCTTACTTTGTATCGCAAGTCAAAAGCTGATCCCACCCACAATTACACTACAACTAAATGCACCTCATCATTACTGCACAGCAGGAATGTGGGCAGGTGCCTTATTTCATTTTAAGGTATCAGAGAACAAGGACTAATGAAGTCCGACAGCTGACCCTGCCTTAAGGGTCACTACTGCCTTGTTTGTCCTTTCAGCTTTCTTTGCAGGAAGTAAGAATAGGGAAAGGGAGCTTATCTCCCACTTGGTACCTTTCTGTTTTCATCCTCATGGGATTTCATAAAACCTACAGAAAATTAAGAGCATTTTCAACATTTTACAAATCCTGAACCATGGCCACCCGTTGCTATGAAGGTTTCTCTCTAACAAATGCAACCACAGATCTTGTCCCTTTCCTGAACAACCATGTGAGCTAAAAGTCTACAAGATACAGGCTATTACTATAAAGTAATTTTATATTGAGCTGAACGGGAATGGAGATTTTGTGCTCTCCAAATACCATCAATTTTGCAAGTGCGGCACCTGTAGTCCGAGAACTGTGTGTGGTCCCAGAACTTCTTGGTAGGGACTTCATTCATTTTCCTGAACAGTTCTGTCTCATGCCTCAAATCCTCATCCAGCACTTTACCAGCTGCAGCTCGGTCTCATTTTACCCCTGCTCCCCATCCAGCACCGACAGTTTTACAATGCTTGGAACATGGAAGCAGCTCAGTAAAATAGGGATGGGCAGAGAAGAGAAAGAGAAAACCCAGAGGGATTCAGGTCAAAATCTAGAACGTAAGCAGAACACTGATTAGAACCATGAGAAAGTAGAAAGAACACCTTGGAGGATTAGAAGGCAGCTGTCACAGACTGGTTAAGTACCCAAACTCTGAAGTTAAGCAGAGCTGGCTTTTTCAACAGGCACTAAACAAATCTGCCTGGGGACCTACTTCATGGAAGCAACTGCTTGCTGGGGGTGGGGAGCAGGTTAAGCAAGACAAACACAGGCCCTATTCACAAGGAAAGAATAAAACAAGTGAATATAGTTTATTTCAACTGATGACAAATGCTATTAATGAAAAAAGTAAACACAAGTGTAATGTAACAAAGGTGTGTGTGTGGGGGGGTTTAGGCAGTGTACTGTGGGAAAGCATCTCTCAGGCTGTAGCATTTGAGCTGTTGCTCTGATGGCCTTGGTCTAGGGATGGCCAGCTGTGTGACCTTGAGCAGGTTATTCCACCTTTCTGTGCCTCCCCCCACCTCTCCGTCTTTCCCATCTGGATTATGGAGACAAGGGCAAGCACGTCACAGGGTTAGAAGAATGTAAAAGTGAAGAGACCTAAACCATCTGGCACACATTCAGCACATACCGTGGTTATTGCCATGCTAGGAAGGTTAGAGCACTATGCCACGTGGGGGATCAGGAGAAAAGCGAGAAATGCAAGGTATGCGCGGGACAACTAACCCATCTGCTCCCTATAATACTGCGAGTTCTCCGGTAGAGGCCAGGTGGTCTCCCCGTTGCCCTCCAGGCCTCGCTTTTTGCCGGAGAGAGGCCAAAAGCTAGGATGCTGAGAGGCACGGGGGTCTGAGCCACCTGGTCACCTGGCAGTGGCTCGCGCCCATCCCCGGGGTGGATTGTCCCCAAGGCAGCCATCTTGGGTGCTCTCGCGGCAAGTTTCATCACGCGGCGCTGGGGACAGCACTGCAGGGTGCTCGTGGGCGTGGACAGATGAGCCCCCACCCACTGGGGGAACGAGACCCATTCTACCACGCGGACCCGAGGGGCGCCAGGGCCTCGGAATGCTGGAAGTGGGGAGCTGTCAGGGAGCGTCACGAAGAGGGTCCCCAAGGTGTAGGGACCCCAGGACCGCGGCATCCCAGCCCCGAGAATGGGCATCTGCCCTCCGAGGGTCTCCCTGCAGGGCGCCGCGTGCCCTCGGACTCCGCCCCAGCCTGCG